GCACCAAAGTTCAGGGACCTGGTTTATCTGTAAAGTTCTTGGGAGTTGTCTGGTCAGGTAAAACTAAAGTTATCCCATATTTTGTTGCCCTTGTCTAGCTTGGATTAATACTTAGTCTATAGGCACGCACCTGATCATCTACATTTGCCCTCTCACAGCACTAAACTATGCTTTCTACCTTTATCTTGCATCTACCTACCACTTCAGCATTTTATTAAAAATAATAATAATAATAATAATAATGGAGAAATATGGGATTCACATATAAATCAAGTATAAAAATCAAACGAATAATCATAATTGGCCTGATTGTTTATAGTTCATGATGCGTGATCAAAACCAAAAGTTTCTGTGATGACTGCCCTTGCACTGTTCATCATGTAAGAACTTATTCACTATGTAAGAACTTGTTCACCATGTAAAAACTTGTTTGTTATGCTTCAGAAGATTGGACACTGTTGAGAATTAGGCATGGGGTTGATTAATGATTGTGCATTGAGTCCCCTATACAGAATTTTATTGTTGTTAACAACCATATGATCAATAAATATGAGAGATGCCCTCTCAAAAAAAAATTTTTCTAATTCCCATTATAAACCTTTTTTGTCATATGGATTACATAGAAGTATACTGCTAGTTTTGCAAATAAATCACAATTTATTCTTAAAAAAAAAAAAACTAATGTTATCCCAGAAGCAGCCACATACAAGGTCCAGTCTTTCCCCACCCCTACCACTGTGGCAGTATTACAAGAGTTTTGGGGTCTTTGGGGCTACTAGACAGTGTTTATCCCACACTTGGCACAAATTCTGAAGCCCTTATACCAGTTGGTATGAAAGGGCATCAGGTGAGACTGGGATGAGACATGTATAGCCGCTTTTACTGCTGCTAAGCGAGTTGTCAAGGCCGAAAAGGCCTTGAGTGTAATAGACTCATTGAAGCCCTGGGAGCTAGATGTTCATGTGACTGAATATGGTTATGGATGGGGTCTTTGGCAGCAGCTTGAATAGACACACCAACCTATTGCATTCTGGTCACAACTATGGAAGGGAGCAGAGGTCCGGAACACCTTGATAGAGAAGCAACCAGCTGTTGTGTGCCACGCCTTGCTGGCTACAGAGCCCATCACCAGAACAGCTCCAACCAAGGTAATAACCACCTATCCCATTGCAAGGTGGGTGCAAGATTGGAACCAAAGGCCATAGAGTGACATGGCACAGATGCCTACACTGGCCAAATGGGCAGTGTATTTCTAATAGCAGAGCACCCTCTCTACTAACCTCTTAAGTGGAGAACTCCAATGCTCATGGAGCCAGTGACATACACCAGCGGAAAGCAGGAAGAACTTGCTTTTGAGCCATTGTTAGCTGAAAGTCCTTACCAGGAGGGAGGAGCCCCTATACCTGAAGATGCTTGGTACACAGACAGCTCCAGTCATGGGCAGCCCCTGAAGTGGAGGGCTGTGGCTTTCCATCCTAAGACTGAGACAATATGGATGGAGGATGGAGATAGGAACAGCAGCCAATGGGCTGAGTTGCAGGCAGTGTGGCTTGTGATCACCCAGGAGCCCTCCCCTATAGCTGTCTGCACTGACAGCTGGGCTGTCTATTTGTCTTGACCCTGTGGCTACTGACGTGATACCATGCCAACTGGATGGCTGGTCACTGCCCCCTTTAGGGGCAAGAGTTGTGGCAAGACCTGTGGGCCTCTGGTCAGACTAAGACAGTTACTGTATATCATGTGACTGGCCATTTGCCTTTGGCATCCCCAGGGAATGATGAAGCAGACACATTGGCCCAGGTGCGCTGGCTAGAAGGAAAGCCTGCCTCTGATGTGGCCCAGTGGTTACCTCAGCATTTGTTGCACATGGGTCAAAAGACAATGTGGGCTGTAGCCCATCAGTGGGGCTTGCCATTGACCTTTGAAGTCAGCAGAGCCCAAAGGAGTGCTTGTGTGCTCTAAGAGGAACTTACACAAGTCCCACAGCAACATGGGACAATAGTAAAGAGGCTGATACCTCTTGTCAGGTGGCAGATAAACTGTATTGGGCCTCTACCTGTGTCAGAAGGATATCGGTATGCCATGACTTGTGTGGACACAGTTACTGGCCTGTTGGTTGCTTTTTTTGTGCATCATGCAGATCAGCAAACCACCAAGAGGGGCCTAGAGCATCCCTTTGCAGCCAAGGCCGGCCACAGGTGATTGAGAGTGATCATGTCACCCACTTTACTGGACATGCATTACAAGAATGTGTGTAGCAATTATGAATAAAGTGGAAGTTTCATGTACCATAAAACCCTACCAGGGCAGGCATGATAGAGAGGTACAATGATTTGTTGAAATCTGTCCTGAAGTTGGACACCAATAGACTATAGGGCTGGTCAATTCACTTATGGACAGTGCTACGGCATTTAAATGAGAAGCCCCAAAAAGGAGCCTTGAGCCCTGTGGATATGCTAACACACATTGCTGCCTCTCCTGTACAACTGTATGTACAAACCAAAGAGGAGTTATTGAAGCCAGGATATGGCCAGCAGAGCAACATCCTGCTGCCAGCCCCAACTGCCTTAAACACTAGAGACTGTTGAGTGGATGTGGCCATGAACATTTCAACACATGGACCAGCAACGCCTGGCCATTCTGGCACCTTGGAGAAAAGGCCTGGAAGCTGGCCTCCTGTGTATTCCTGGTGTAACAGCAGAGTGGCCCCCAAAGATCACAGTAGTGTACCCAAAAGGTCGGGGAGATAAGAGCATCTTACAGGGAAGTTTTATTTTATCTTTATGGCCAGTGCATATACCTCCCATATTCTACATATTGACCCAACTGTAACTCCCACAGGGAGGGGGGTGAAAGTCTGGTATACTAGACCAGGATGAGATCCCATTCCTGCCACTATCCTATCACAGGACCACTCTCTTGTATGCAGCCTACCTTATGAACAAGATTTGCCTATGCTGGTGTCACTAAAACATGTATCTTATTGCCCTTAAAGTTATTTTATTCTACAGTCCTTGTGGCCTGGATGTGCCCCCTGGCTGCAGCTGCCATGTGTTGATTGCTCTGAACTCTCTACCTCTTCAGCTACTGCCTGTCTGTGGAATGGGTGAGCTATAGATTTAATCTGCATAGGACTTTGAACCTAGCTGAATCCTCTGGCTTGAGGATTATCATGATTTTATTGCTGTTGCTATTGTATGTTATTAGTCTGGTTACAATGCCCCAGTTTTCTTACACAGGGGCCATTGCAGAAGATGGGGAACGAGTAAATTGTGAGTCGAGATTTCTGGAGGGGTGGCCTGTGTGTAAAATTATAATATTTCCAGAATCTCTCACCTGGCCTTAGTGCATTTCCATATCAATAGGTGTTTCCAAGGAATGGAGAGAAGTAGTCCATCTCCATATAAATAGGTGATTACAAGGGTGAGAGGGAGGGCATATCTGAACCAGAGAGGGTGGGTGGGGTCCCTTCTTTCTGCAGCTGGGTCATGAGAGACACGGGAGAGCACAAGTGGAGGACTGCTTGTAGGCAATAAATGGGTTTCTCCCACTTTATTTCAGTTTCAAAGGTGTTTTGCCTCAGGATTTTCCCCCAGAGTTATAGACCTTAACCCTCAGGAGGGTTCTTGAGTCTGATAGAGAAAGAATTCATGAGCAGGTCGAGCAGGTCAAGCAGGCAAAAGCAGAGTACACACTCAAGGAGGGAGTGCGGACAGGCTCCAGAAGTGAGCAGCACGGTGGGGGCAGGGTCGGGTGGTCTTATAGCTGGTGTTTAAGCAGGGGGTAGAATATTCATCAGGTTAGGTGGGGTTTTCTTGGAATAAGGAGAGAAACCTGGGGGATATGGTGATGTGCTCTTTTTGTCCTTAGATGGTCTGTCTCGGCACTGTCATGGCACCAAGGTGTGTGATTTTTAAATATGCTGATGAGCTTTTAATGTACTGTGACGTGAAGTCAGGGTCAACTTCTGCAGGTTGGTCCTAGTCAGTTTCGGCAGGTCTGGTATCTATACCCTCCCTCCCCCTCATCCTGTGAAAACAGTTTACGGGGAATGTTTAGAGTATGAACAAGCATCTAAACTAATGTAAACACTGGCCAAAGTCCCCCAGCCCCACCTCTTCTCCTATCTGGCCATCCACCTACGGCAACACTTGGGATTACCAGTCCCAGGTACAGACTAGGTGTCCCTACATGTTAATCATTCCTATCATCCCGTTGGGGAGGAAAAGGGGGGCTCTGAGGCCAGAGGAGTGGGTGACATTACCAGAGATGAAGAAGAGGCCAAGGGCAGAGCTGCAAAGAGCCCATCAATGGAGTCCTCAGCAAGTGAGTGGCTAGGCAGGTGTGGGGAGGACGGGCTGGCAGCAAGGAAACCCAGAGGAGGGAGGCCACTGCTGGGGAGGGAGGGGTGCTTTTAAAAGGCTGACTTTTTAGCCTGTTTTGGATGTTAAAGCGAGGGAGGGAGGCATTCGACTGGATAAAGGGGAAGGGCAGTGGACAGAGGTGGGAGGTTTAATTGGAGGAGGGCGGACTGGAGTACGCTGGTCTGTCCCGTCTTCCAAGATGGGTTTTCCAGGGATCAGAATGTGGGTGGCGAGTTTGGGGAACACAGAAGGGCAGTGCCTTGTCTCAGGAAGGGAGCGGTTCATAACAGAAGTTTGGAACAAAACCGCCAAGGGAACCCAGGACTCAGTGAGACCTCCAAGCCGGACGGGAGTGGTTCCGCCCCGCCCAGTCAACTCTGCGGGAACCCTTTAAAGTTCCAGAAGAGGCCCCGGGGCTGAGCGTCCAGGAGGTGGCGCGGGGGCTGGGCCGGCGGCGCCAGAGGGACCCGGGGATACAAAGACTGCGCCGCGAGGAGCCAAGCGCGGCAGGCGTCCTGAGGGAATGAATGGGGACAGCCCGGCCAATCCGAGGGCAGGATTCGAAGCCGCGAGAACAAAGAGCCAGTCGGAGTCCTGCGCGGCCAATCGGCTGTGAGGACAAGGCCATGGGGCGGATCCGCGCGGAGTTTCAAATCGGCTGGGGTGGGCGAGGGTCAGCTGTGTTCGGCGTCCGGTCCGCGTTTAGGCCTGTCGGGTGAGTGCCGGCTCGGCAGGGACGTAGCGGACCCTCTGTTCAGAAGGGCCCTGGGCGGAGGGCTCTAGGGGGCACCAGCACGGCCCTGGGGGCGTCTGGGTATTGCAAAATGGAAATCGCGGGGTCTGGTCAGCGGCCGGGGTCTGAGCGGGAGCGCGTTGGGTCAGTGCGAGTTTGTGAAACGGCCGCTGCTTGCGCCCTGGGCGGAGCTCAGGACTCCCTCCCCGCCTGAGGCAGAGAGCCGACCGGAGGCTGGGATGAAAAGAGCCGTTTTAGACACTAACAGTAAGGGACCGCAGGAAATGCTGACCGGCCGGGTTCATCTGCTCCCTCTTCTGTATCTTGCTGACCCCTCTCCAGGAAGCAGCTTCCTTCCTGCACCCACAGTTGCCAAGTGTCCCCACACCCTCCCAGGACCATCCACTCACCCACCTTAGGCCTCCGTGTCATCCTTTCCCCTATACCTATGTCTCTGCAGAGCCTGGAAATGGGATGGTGGATACCTTGCTGACCTGTCTTTTGACCTCCTCCCCAGGGTCTAGTGAGCCGAACACACTCTTGGCCAGCCAGATGGCTTCCAGGTGGCCCAGTGTGGGGACCTCCATGTGCCAGAGATCTCGCCAGGACCGGGAGCAGCTGGAGGAGAGTGAGGTGCTGCAGCCTGCGGCTGGCCATCTGGAGACCTCCAATGGGGCCCTGGGCTCCCTGTGCAGACAGTTCCAAAGGAGGCTGCCCCTGAGAGCAGTCAGCCTCAACCTTGGGGCGGGCTCGTCCTGGAAACGCCTGGAAACCCCAGAGCCAGGGCAGCAGAGCCTCCAGGCTGCGGCTCGCTCTGCTAAGAACGCCTTGGGAGCTATGTCCCAGGTAATACTGCCAAAGCTAACCATCCATTTGTGGAGGGCTTCCTTGGTGCCGGAAAGCTGTTGTCCTCCAGGAGGCCCCAAGAATATAGACTACATGGAGACAGGGGCTTTGATTCATGGATTGCTGTGTCTCTAAGACCCCTGGTAATTTCTGGCACTCTACTAATAGTAGAAAGAGTGAATGAAAACACTGTCTGGTGGAAACAGACCCTCGCAATACAAGATGCTAGGGCTATATTGTGATAGGATATTGCAATCGAGCAAGTGGCTGGTGGTTGGGAGGATGTCAGATATAGTAAGGCTTCCCAGAGGAGGTGACTCCATGAAATTCACCTGGAAAGGGGACATATGAATTGAGGAGTGTATAAGGCAGGTGTAATAGTGTGGGTGCAGATCTCAAGCTGAGGGTGTCTGAGGTGTCTGTGCTCACCTTTCCACGCACCTGTCACAGAAAATCCAGGAGTCCTGCCAAAGTGGCACCAAGTGGCTTGTGGAAACCCAGGTGAAAGCCAGGAGGAGAAAGAGAGGGTCACAGAAGGGCAGGAGCCCCCCAACTCGCAGCCTGAGCCAGAAGAACAGCCGGCTGTCTGAAGGTGCGCCTGCCCACTCTACCCTGGAACCCTGGGCAAGGAAGTATCACCACCTCTCCACCCGGATGTGTCCTCGTGCCCACCCACTGAGGCAGTGCAGAAGGGAGGCAGCCTTCCAGAGCCCCTACTCCTCAACAGAGCCCCTCTGCTCCCCCAGGTAAGAGGAATAGTGCCTTCCCTCCACAACACTAACTGGACCCCAGTGGCTCCCTGTGGCTCAGTACCCTGAGCTGAGTCATATCTGTGTCCTGGCCCAGCTGTACCCTAATGAGTGGGGCACCTAGAGAAGTCCTCCAAGACCTTAGTCTCCCTACCTGTAAAAGAAAGAGGGGAGCTTAGGTCTAACAGTACTACACTCACCCAAGCCTCTTGGTGAGCCCTAAAGCAAGTTTTGAAGCCATCTGGAGGCTGAGGCTCAGTTTCCAAGAGGGGAACAGCAGGGCTTGTCTGTCTGTACCATTAGCTGCCCTTGACCTCGGCTTCCAGAGCCTGGACACATCTGTTCTCTGCCAGGTGCTCCAGGTTGCACTGACGTCACTTCTTAGAGAGAGGGTCTGGAATGAGGCATTCCAAGCTCCCACTGGTCTCCTGGGTCTATAGACCAGGCCCCAGTGCTGGACTGGAAGGGCTCTTGCCTCAGGGCTCCAGTCAGTCACTGGTGGCTTTTTCTTCTGACCAGTGAATCTGACAGTGACCTAGAGCCTGTGGGGGCAGGAATTCAGCACCTCCAGAGGTTGTCCCAAGAGCTGGATGAGGTTATTGTGGCTGAAGAGAGGTGAGTTGGCATCCCATGGTCAGGAGGGTTTCACTCGAGCCATGCCATCTTTTCAGGCAAGGTTCTGATTCTAACTCTGACTGCTGTGTGCCCTGGCCACCCCTTCCCCCTCTCTGATCTTCAGTCTCCTGGTCTGCAACATGAAGGGGCACAAAAGACCTAGATTGGGGTAGTGGTTAAGGACACACCCTGGATGTGCTTGGGCCCACATTTGTCCATCATTTGGAACTTTACCAGGCCGAGTACCTGGTACCTAGAAAACCTGCCCTCCCCCCAACACTCCCCATGCCTCCTCTGTGTCCTGCCTGCCCATGGAACTGGGGAAAGCTACATGGCTGCTCTGAGTTTCTGGTCTGTCCTTGGGGACAGGGCCTGGGTCTGGAGCTGCCCCAACTTGGGGGCGGCTCCCCATGTACACATGGCCGTGATGGGTTCATCGGCAGGGCCCTGCCAGCTCTGATTATATGGCACATGGGCCATGTTCCCACCGCCTTGCCAGGTCTGGTGTTGCCTAGTCAAGGCTGACAGGGCCGTGCAGAGCCTGCAGCACCAAACGGTATCGATCCCTCCCACTTTCTCACCTCTAGTGGCGACATGACCGTTTCTCTCGTCTGTGACTGAGGATGGTGCCCTTCAGGTAATGCCCTCCTCCCAGGCATCCTCACATTCTTCCTGGTCCTCCTCTTCATGCATAAACACATATACATATTTGGAGGCATGTTGCAGAACTGAGCGTTTTCTGGAAAACCCTGCAGAGCTGATAGGCCCAGAAGTTTGCAAGCCTGCCTACCTACTCGGAGCCAGAGCCGCTGACCTCACTGACCGCATCACTAACTGAGCACACAGGGGCCCCCACGTAGCTAGAGCCACCTTCCAGCTCCTCGTTTTGGGGGGAAGGCTCTGGTGTCCCCACTGAGCACCATGGAGGGCTCAAAGGAAGTTTTGTCTTGCAGAAAGCAGGTCACGTCTGACCACCACGCCCCCACACCCAGGAGGTGGCAGTACTGCTAGGCAGCTGCTGCCACCAGGATTTGACTAACAAGGGCTGGGGTGGAGGCTGCTCTGGGGCCTCTGCTCACTTTCTCTGGCCACATCTGGGCCCACCAAAGACTGCCTGCCATGGCCTGGGGGGTACTCAGGGAGACCTTAGAGAGTTGCAGGGGAACTGTTCACTCTATTCCATTTTGGGGCTTAGAAATTCATCCCACATCTGAGTTATGCAACATGAAGTGCAGGCACCAGAAGACATTTGAGAGCTCTGAGCTGGATACCCAAGTCATCCTTTCTTGCCATCTTGTGCCAAGGCTCTTGGGACCCCAGCTCCCACTGTGCTCCCCCCACCAGAGCCTGGGAGGAAGGGATGGGAGAGATGTCCAGGCTCTGAGACCCTGAGCCCACAGGTCCCTATGTAGGCTCTGAGCACATGGTACCGTGGGCATACAGGGAGGGGGCTCTGCTCAGTAGAATTTTTGCACCCTTTGTAAATTATTTAAGAAATGTGCCTAGGCGTTTTATTAGAAAGAAACCAGTGTGTGACTTTCCTTGATAATGTTGCTTTTTAATAATAAAGACCTTCTATATTTGATATCTCTACACCTCGTCTTTGTCACCACCACCCCCACACCACTCTGGGCAGTAGGCCTGTGGTTTGGGGCCAGGCTTTGTTGCTCTCCTCGGCCCCACTCCAAGCCAGTCTTCCCCCACTCAGGGAGAAATGAGTCACAGGAAAGATTTGTCCGCTTAGTTCAGAGCAAAGCACATTTTAAAGGCAAATAAGGTTTTTATTTAAGTGACAACGTCGGAGAGTTAAAAACCAGCTCACATCAAAATCAAGACCAGTTGTAAAAATCTTTTAACTCTGTAATGCTGTTTTTTGTCATGTTAGAAATCTGGTATTTTACATTTCTTTTCTAACAGATTTTGTACAAGGCAGCCATGAGGAGTATAATAACCTGTTCACCACAGATAATACTGAGTTACACACTTAGAAACAGTCAGACCACAGGCGAGATCAGGCAGGCTGCCACCACCGAGTAAACAAATAGAGGACAGTGGGGTCCGAGGGGGGAGGGTCCTAGTGATATTGAGCTGCCCTCCTGGCCTGGCCCTCCCTAGTATCACCTGTTTCTCCTTGTCCCAACGAGGGTGGGGTCAGACCTAGACTTTCCTCCCAACTGCCCTGTCGGTTTCTCAGCAAGGAAAGCAGGACCCCAGCCAGGCCTCCCTGCTTGGGCCTAAGCCTAACTGATTTTTAAGAAAGTTCCCCCAAGCCTAGAGGGAGGGGATGAGCCAAAGAAAATAGGTTTCCAGGGCACTTGGCACCCAAACACCAGGGATTTGGCGGGAAAGTTGGCTATTTAAGGCAGGGTCATGCTGCAAGGCTCCTTTGCAGTCAGGGCGCCGCTCCCAGGTGGGGTTGCACCTGGGCTGGATAGGAGAGTGTCGCTGCAAACCAGAGCCACCCCTAGACCCAAATCTACCTGCCTCGGGGTCTGGCTTTTATTTAAAAATTGATGCCACATTTTTGTCTGCAGAACACTTCCTGGGTACAGGCATGGGCTCCAAAGTGGAAAAAGTACAGTTTAAAAACCAGGAGATTCAGCCTCCCCTCTTTCAAAAAGTCTATCTGCCAGTAATCTCTGGAATACTCGGGTTCAAGCATGTTTGTTTTCTGTGGCCCAGCACCCTGAAAAGAGCCTACTTTTTGAAATCCATATTTTGCAGAACCTAAGGGAGGAGTCGAGATCTTTAGAAAAAACCCACGATGCCAGAAGAGAAGGCCCTGGCCATGGATGCACCCTGAATCCCCAAGAGGGCACATGTAGTAGAAGGCGCCAGGCAGGCCCTCCGTCAGGACAGCCACTACTTTGGGAAGAACATGCCACATGAGAAACAAGGAGCTTTGGTCAGGCAGGAAGATATGTTTTACAGCTCCTGGGAGCAAGCACACCGGGAGCTGGAAGGATTCTCTAGAAACATCCAGATTAGGGGTCACAGAACGACTTGGGGAGAGGCAGTGGTACCCCCTCCAGAAGACAACACAACTGGGTTCTTTTTCTCCTGCTTAACTGGACAGACACATTTGAACAAACCACTAGTATAGAAAGTGCATATTGGTTACAGAGTTGCTGTGAATGCAGTACTGACACGTAATTTGTCCAAGTCGGTCACTATACAGAACCATACATACAAACTCACACACACCAACTAAAGCTAGAGCATTGTGGTCACAATGTCTCACTGTACACCTTCACATCTCAGGTGTGAGTCTTTGAAGCCCCTCTCCAGAGCTCCGGCAAGGAAAGGGTGGTGGCCCTCCTGCTGGACCGTGTCCCAGCAGCCCCGGAACCACAGAACCTGCTTGTTTGGACTCCAAATGCCTGGGGGTCCTGGCACTCTTCTAGCCTGGGGTTCTCAGAAAGGGAGGAGGGAATCAAATTGGGGAGAAGTAGCTCACACTAATTATTCTATCATTTGAGAGTGAGACATCAGTGGTTTCTGCAAAAAGGAGATGGTAGCATAGAGAACCAGACTAAATCTGCCCAAATTTAATCCTGGGTATATTTTGGAAGAGATGGGAAAGATCAGGATGGAGGTGGCTAGGCCATATGAGCTGGTGCATCATGGAAAGCCATCAAGGATGGAATGCCAAGGGTGGGAAAGGCAATTGTGAACTGCCAGGAGGCAGGACTAGAGACGCTGAGGGTGACCACCCCTCCCCATAGGCTTGCCAGCAGCTCCGGGCTTGCATGCAGATGCTGTGCAAAGTGGAGCTGAGAACTGACAGACTGGAGAAGACACACTTCTAGTGGAGCTGGGAGCCCACAACCCTCCAGCTCCAGCAGGGTGCCCAGTTTGCCAGGAGATTCACAAGAGTGGTGCCAGTTGCCCCCACCAGCAGCTGCTGTCAGGGAGGACACTGACCACATGGGAGCTGCAAGAGGTAGACATTGAGCAGAAGCGACACTGAGCGAACACAGGTGCCTGCTGTGAACACAGCCACCTGGGCCCTGGGGCAGCCTGGCCCCTGACACAGAGCCCAGGCTGAAGAGCTGGACAAGCCTCTGAGGCAGCCACAGGGGCTGAGAGACAGGCCTGGGTGGCCCAACACAGCGGGTGTAGGCTTGGGCCAGGGAGCAGGGAGAGTGCTGGAAACCAATCCCCAGGCCAGGGGCTCAGCAGCAGGAGAGTCTGGTCAGGCATTGAGGGGCCCCAGGAGAGCCAAGCCCTGCCAACCTCAGGGGTTACCAACCCAAGCTGAGTGGCAGGGGGAAGGCAAGAGAGTACAACAGTTTGAGCCAAAACTACATGGATGCCCCCGACTCCAGAACTCTGGGATCTCAGCTCTATGCCTTCCAGGAGCCAAAAGGGAGAAATCAGCTGAGCAGAGCTGGGGAGGGGAGCCAGGTCATGCCCTCTGGGGGATGTCTCTGTCCTGGGGTGCCAGGGTCTGGGCATCAGTGCAAAGTAAACCTCTTCCTGGAACAGGGACCCTTCCCAGCCATCCCAACCCCAACCCCAGAGGGGCTTTCTCTGAAGTGGCCAGGCAATGGCTGCTCCCTCCCAGCCCACCCAGAACCCCTCTCTGACTGTGGGAGGTGTAGGTCACTAGGCACTCCAAGGAGGTCACAAGCCTGAAAAGCCTCAGGCGGGCAGAAATGCAGGACAACCCAGGAGTCAAAAACTCACACCAATCTCAGCTGAAGAGACCCCCTCCAATTATGTAAGAAAGGCGGAGTCCAGAGAGGGCAAGCAACTGGACTCGAGGGCTCACAGCCAGCCCAGCTAGGCCAGAGCCCAGGCCACAGCCGCACAGGACAGGGCACCAGGCAGGACAGTGGAAAGGGGAACAGCTGTCCTCAAGGGCCATGGGAACGTGGTGAGGACAAGAAGGGGCACAAGGGACAGCTGCAGGACAGACCGTCAGCACCAGACCCCCTACTCCCAGGGCCGTGGACAGACACCTCGAACATAGGATGAACCCAGGGGACACCGTCTCACTCCCAGAAAGTGGTCACTTTGCCATAGAAGGGCCGGACCTAAGATGTGACCCAGATGTCACCGGAAGGACAGGCACAAATGCCACTCGCCCTCCACTAGCCAGCCAGGAAGCTGTGCCTGCCAGCGGCTGCTGATCCCTGGTCTGGGTGCTTCTCTCTTTAGGGCCTGCCCAGCATCGCTGTGGAAGCCTCAGGTACTCAGAAAGACGGCGGGCTGTCGAACCTTCCAGCTGCAGTCAGGCTGGCCCAGGTTACACACACTTCAGCCCTGACTTGGGCTGGCGGCCGCAGGCATAGCGGGGCAGCAGCAGCTGCTCTGAGACCCTGGGGTCTCACCCGTCGCAGCCTAAGGAGCCCTCCAAGGCTGGGCAGGGTCCCTCCCCACTCTGGTCGGACACTGCTGGACAGACACGGGAGGGAAAAAGCAGGACAAGGCCTGTGTCGGGGAGAAGGCGGCTCCTCCGGCCCCGCAGGCAGCCCAGTCGGGCCCCCCTGCTCTGTGCACAGCCCGGCCCTCAGGGCGCCGACTCGAACCGGGGGGGACCTCGCGCCCAGCTGAGCCCGGGCAGGGGCCGCTCGTGGTCCTTGTCGGACTCCGGCTGGCTCTGGGCGCGCTCGGGCTTGGGGGTGGCGGGCGGGTCGGGCTGCTGCACCGACATGGTCCTGCGCAGGTGGTTGCGCTTGCGCAGGAACTCGGGCTGCGCGCGCAGCCCGAAGCTGCCCTTGCGCAGGATCATGCGCGAGTTGTTCTTCTTGGCGCGCGAGCGGTGGCTCGCCTCCAGCGCGGCCAGGTGCGCGGCGTAGCCCTCGCTCAGGAACTGCGGAGGGACAGGCGTCAGGCCAGCGGCGCGGGGCAGGCCTCCAGCCCCGCCCCGGCAACATCGCCCTTTCCCTGGAACACCCTACCGTGGGGTCTCCAGCTTCTCTGTGGAAGCTCGGGGGAAACGGGGGTTCATTACCATTAAAGAGTTCCCACCCAGCTTTGGACGTCTGAGCCCTTCTCTCTGTACCCAAGTCACACCAGAGTTCTCTGGATTCTCGATGGGGTGAAGCTCCCATCCTCACTTTCACTAAAATCCCCAAATGTAAATCTCTCCCATCATCCAGCTTCTTGCCCCAAAACGGCATCATTTTCTGGCCCCCACCGCTGACCTTGCCAATTCTTCCCACTATGTCCTCAGAATGAACCTTGCTACTCAAAGTGTGGGCCACGGACCAGCAGCCTCAGCAGAACCTGGACCCTTGAGAGGCAGAATCTCAGGCCCCACCCCAAACCTGCATTTAAACCAGACCCCGTGTCATCCTTGTGCGCGTTACAGTGTGAGACACCCTGCTCTTGCACACCCCACTCTGAGGTCCTGCCATCTCTAACCTTCCACCTGCTGGTCACTCTCAGACACCTCACACTCAACATGCGCCAGAGTTGCTCATCACCTTCCTTCCAATCGTCTCCTTCTCCAACCTGCTTCTCCATCCCAATAATGGCACCACCTGCATGGTCACGTAAGCCAGAAACCAGGGCGGCATCCTCGGCTTTCCCTTTCCTTCATCCCAGACATCTGAC